CAATGCGGATATTCTTTCTTTTTTTTGCCACTTTCTTCGGCATTCAAAACGACGTCGCCATCCGTCCTCTTTCCGTCCTTATGGCGAACACGTGGTCCGTTCTTCGGTTCTTCGTGTCGGTTGGATGGAGGCTTGCTGCTCACCTGCCAACAAGATCCAACCAGAGAACTTTTCGGGAACAGTAACCACAAGCAGACAAGCTGACGAGGAATTCTCCAAGACAACGGATGAATTCTGCATGAAAAACACCGTTGACCAACCGCAAAAGACGGATTTCCAACATGTCTAAGCAATTTTGGAAATACTTGATTACGATTACTCGAGAACAGACCAGAAGCACAAAAAGAAGCACAGCAGCTCGAATCAAAACACAGCTGCTGGATCCCTGTATGGGATCTTTCCTGTGCTCATAAGCGACTGGACAGCTTCTTTTCGCACATATCAAACTTAGGTACAGCCTATGATTTGAGGTTAAAGACATATATGTGGGAAAGGCGTCTTGCCCTTGCACTTTGCCATTTCCCGAATTGAATTTGCTGCGCGGGGCGTACACCAAGTGTTGACTTGTGAACGTGTAGACTCTCGCACTACGATGTGTAGACTCCCGCAGTTCTGCGATCCTTACGAAGGCGCTGAGAACCCTTTCGAAATTTGTATTCAGCCCGACACGTTTTAAGTTTGCAACACTAAGGACTCAGCGGGAGCTAAGAACTTGGAGGGACTGGGCTTAAAGTGCCAAGTATGTAATGCAACCTATCATATCATTCCGCATGCGATAAAGTTAAAGTTGTCCGGAGTTGTCCGGCTCTTGATTCTATACCAAAGTGGTTTTAACAGCGACACACCACAGGAAGCACCAACAAAAAAAACCATCGAATCAAACCATCTTGACCCAGTGGAACCGCTGGTGGCACAAGGAGACTCCCACGGAAATACCAGGCGTTGGATGTATAGCGAGGGTGGGAACATCCCTCATGAGCCTAAAAAGCAGGTCAGGGCACTGTTCCAGGTCAGGGCACTGAGTCAATCAACGATTAGATTCATTTCTTGCGTATCGAGTATCGAGTTGGGTATTTACCCTAGGGCTGAAGACCATATCAGAAGGTGATTGGACCCCACAAAGCTACCATAACCATCTTCTCAGTAGGTAGTTGGAGCCCTACGGATATTTATTATATAATATGTTTTTTTGCATTCCTTTATTGCGCTCTATTTCATACTCTCATTCTGAGCCTTTCGCCTGGTTTATGCTAGGTTTAGGTTCTAGTCCCAGTTCATTCATGACCATTCAAGTTCTTTTTCCTTAACCCTCAAAGATTGCAAAGAACGTATTGGGATATGTGATCCAAGTCTCATGTCCTTTGGGGATCCGTCGGACCATCCGACCATCTCTGTCACGGTTGGAGGTCTTGGTGAAACTGTCCAAGAATGTGATTCAGGAGACGTGAACCTCGCCGCTGCGCGCCGTGGAGTTTTCACCGGTGGGTGGTGCACCGTGGGTTCACCATTGATATATTAAAAAAATATATATAATATATAACGATTGTTTTCGTGAACCGAGCTCACGACATTATGCGGTGGTAGGGAGCACAGCTAAAGAGTCCGACGGTCGGGGTTCCGAATGATGGGGGAGGTAGGAAAGGGCAGGAAAGCACACGGATCATTTCCTATAACTATACTTGAAGCCTCGAGTCCTCAGGAAAAACGAACAAAGAAGCCGAGCTGATCGCTGGGAGTGCAGCGCGGAAAGAACTTTTGACAGCTCATGACAGCCCTATATACCAGAGTAGCTTTGACGCGTTTGGGTTTCGTGTGTTTCATCTGATGGATCACATCGGTGCGGGGTCTCTTCGCAGCTCCAATGACCACCTCATGGCGGTCTGGTTCGGTGGTCATTGGCTGATGAACAAGGTCATTGGCTGTAAACCCATCGGCCAGGACGTAGGAGACGGAGATGGGTTGATAGATCACGATAGATCCAGACTTCTTGATTTTGGGATCTTCATGGTCTTTGGGCTGATTGATGGGATTTAGACCCTGGAGCAAGAAATCGTTTCTTTCTCATGCTTCATCAAGTGAAGGGTCCCAGGATGTTACATGCTACAAAAAGCACGATCATTCCAGGAATGTTACGTACCCGTTGTAGAGATGGTCAACGTTAGCATTATCAAATGGTTTCAGGACTGTTGCCGATCTGGTGAAGCACTCGTCCTGCACAGGAAATCACTGCTGTTGTCAGATCGATGGTCCATGGACACCCCAAGCTGCCTTTGAATAGACACCTGCCCTGGTAGGTCAAGACCCTTCTAGCGAAAGATAGCTAGCAAGATCCATCCTTTTTCTTAGACATAGCGCTGAAACCGCCTGAAGTGGACCTATTCCGCAAACCGCCTGAAGACGTGCTCCGAAGCGAGTCCTTTGCTCACTCGAAAACGCGGGTGCCTTTCGGTGCACGGGCGAGTCCTACCGCAGGAGTCCTTCCTGAGCTTCATCCGTGCCAAGGGCCGTGTCACCGGGAAGCTCCGACTGGTGCTGCGGGAGGGCCGGCACTTCTTGGAGTCGGAGGACCACGTGACGGGACGGGTGGAGCAGTTCCCCGAGGGTTTTGTTGTGGGATGAAGGGGGGCAACCGAGGCGGGTGCAATCGATTCTTGGGTCATCTTGGCCAAGAGAAGAACCGGCATGGCCGGTAGGAGCAAGTCCAAAGTCACCCATTATGCTGATGGACTGATGGACTGATGGACCTGCCTGATGGACTGATGGGCCTGCCTGATGGACTGATGGACCCCACTTTATGATACCAGTATTCAGAAGCTTTTTAGCGCAACACGATCCGGAAGTCCGTGGGCTTCGGGAACGTGGTCTTAACTCAACAGGTGTATGTGATGTGAAATCTGCAGGGGAGTATTCATACCGACTCACCGTTTGTTTGGATCATATTTCTCAATTGATGTGGCACGCCTGTCCAAACGACCTGTCCTGTCCAAACATGCACGCCTGTCCACCCGTGGCAGACATCCACCTCCTGTACCTGACTAGAAGGTCATTTGCAACTTCGAGGTTTTTTGTTGTTAGTGTCTCGGAGGTTTATAAAATGAGAGTTATATCAAGCCTGGGCCTGACATGGGTTTTCTTTTTCGAGACACATGATCCTACAGGCTATAGGTGTGTTTCTTTTGCTTGTACTCATACGTACACTCAATCCCCGCTTTTATCCGGGCAAGGCTGGGAGTGGATCTGATGCGCAAGCAACAAAAGTGTGTGGCGAAGTGTAGAATATTGTATAAACAGACCAAAACATGACCAGATATCCAGGACTTTTGTTGCTGGGTTGCGATCATGTGCTGTTGATTCTGCTACCTGGAAGGAACTTCTTATTAGAATCTCGGGAAACCATGAAACAGCTGGACCAGCATACATTGACATGACTCACCGTTCTCTTGGAGACTTTTCAGATAAAACACGATGCTCACGTCTTCTAAGCATCAGCTGCTTTACTCCTATCGCAGGAACCCCTCAGTGTGTCCACACTGTTTGGGGAACGATCTTCACGTCTTCCGCTCTCGCCACGTGTTCCGCTCGCCCGAGAGGACGAGCAGCTCCTGCGGCAGCTCAAGACGCATGAGGAGGTGCGCGACGTTGGACGGCTGTGACGGCGAGTGACGGTGGCGCATGCAGCGAATCACCACAAATCTGGTTTGAATGTCCGAGTCCGGAAACGAGGACACATCCGTTCGTTTTCATTCTTAAACATGCTCATACAATCCAATGAAAGACGCACATGTTTCAACGACGCAGTTCGACCGAATTCCTTCGCTTTTTCGTTTGAAACGTGTCCGTTTTCTCCAACCAGTTCGACCGACACCGCGGGGTCCTCCGGTTCGCACCGCGCGCGGGGTCTCAGGTGGCGGAGTGCGTGGTGGACGCCGCCAGCAGCGAGGTGGACTCGCTGAAGGTGGAGAAGCTGAAAGCTGCGGCACATCAGTTGGGCTTTCCGCTGCTGCAGGCGGATGGTGTTGGGAAGATGGTGGTGGTGTTGGGAAGATTGAGATGGGATGGTGAAGTGATGAGATGACAAAGTAGGATGGAGGGATGTATGGAAGGATGGGGAGAGATTTGAGAGGTGCCTGTTTTGTGCTTGATGGATGATTCAATTCTGCACCATTACATAGAGGTACACCCCTGCCTCGAAAACCTGAACATGGACTTAAAACATGTTTTCCTTTGCAGGCCAGTGTCTTTTCTGCACCACTAGCCGCTACAACTCTAACTCACTTACATGGAAGTGGAAACCATGGCTGTCCGCAGAAGAAAGGACCACTTTTCACTTCCATGTCAGGGAGTCGGAGTGAAACAAAAGAGCAAGGGTATCGAACGCCAACACATTCCCCCTAAACAGGCCCTTCACCGATAGCCAACTGATCTAGTCACCATTTGGGTGAGTTCCAACAAAGAATCTTCAACGGGACATGGCTGAAAAATAGAGCACTTGTAGACCTGAAACCCAAACATTGACCAAAACCTGAAGATTATAACTATAACTTTGTATTAGAATAGGGAGATCCCCCAAAGACCCCTGGAAGAAGACAAATAGACCGAAACATTCTGTATACCGAAACCCATTAGTTGGGAGGTCTCCTACTAAAATACACATCCATATTTTGTGCCATAGATTTAAATCCTTGCAGATGGAGAGAAAAAAGACTAAGGAGCAACAAAGACATCGATCAAGGCCGACGAGGAGTTCACCTTCCTTCACCAACAGACAGACCATCCATGTTGATTCGCCTCTTTTTGGCCGGAGTTCTCATCGACCAAAAACCAACTGACCCACCCTTCACCAACGGAGTTCACGGCGACCACGCGACTGGCCGACCGACCCCCGAACCGGCCAGGAATACGAGTTCCGCCGCGACCGCGCGGAGGGCAACCCGCCGCTGCCGGCGGTGCTGCGGCCGAACGTGAACCTGCGGCCCTACCAGCAGCGGGCGTTGGCGAAGATGTTCTCGGTGGAGGTGTGGTACCACAGGGCCAGGCTGTTTGAACACGGTGGGTACAAACCGAGGTGAGAGGAGTGCAGAATTGACTTGCTCATCGCGATTTTGTTGAAATGACCAACCGCCACACCTTGCAAAGACCAAGTTTAGTATCATTTAGTAATATAAAGAGTGTTCGCTCATTTCAGGATTCTTTTCTACATGGAACCAGCAAAAGCGATGGGCCCTCCTCAAGAGCGATAGCCATGTCGCTGCAGTTTTTGGATTCAGCTATGTTGAACGTGTGGCTGGGGAGTGATAGTCCCACCATTTTTTTGGCAGCTCAAATCAGTTTGCTTGCGAACAAGTCAACCACACGTGCTCCTTGTGGTAGGTGTTGAAAGCTCTCTTTCAAGTTGACCACTAGGAGGAGACCAGGACGGACAAGCTTCGGTGTGTATTTTTCCCTGACGCCCAGAACGAGAGGCGCCTTACTGAGTTCTTCAACTGGACCCCTTCTGACCGTGACGCCGTCGGGGGAACCGCATCGATGCCGCCAAAGAAACCCACCAAACCCTGGCTCCAGTCGCACCCTCTTGACAAGGGGATTGGGGTGGGTGCCAGGTTCGGGTCCAGTCATAGCTTTTGAGGAGCTACAACTGGAGCCCTAGGGGTGAACCACATCGCTTGCGATGGGTGTCATCCTCATCCACGGTCCGATTCATGAAGCTCCGTGTCGACACGTGTCGAAGAAACGCGCGAAAGGAAGTGGCGAAGAGCGGCATCGTGGTGTTGCCCTGTGGAGCTGGGCCACTTGGAGCCAGTCGCTTTGAGCGAGTGTTTGGGTGGCTCATGACCCGTCAGAGTCGGTCAATGGATCATCCCATGTCTTCGGAGATGTCGGCCTTGAAGCTAACCATCGTCATCCACTGGGACATACCCAAGGTAACTTAAGTATAGAAGTGGCAAGGATGTGCCTTGGGTGACTTGATGGGAGAAGACGAAGAGCTTCTAAGTTTATCTGAGTTACGTAAAATCCAGAGTTAGTCCTAATTACGCTTGGCGGAACTGGTGTCTTTCTGCTGGTTTCCTACACTGCGTCCGATCAACCGTGCTAACAGAAATCCCATGCATCCGATCCTGCCAGGTCCCTCTTCCCCAGAGCGATCCGATGAACCCAACCGCTTGCCGTTCCTCGGCTGTGCAACCTATAGAGGTCAAAAACACCCTGCCGTTTCTGTGCCACCTACAAGGTGATAAGGCCTTGTATCCACCTTAAAGAGTACCATTCCTACCAGGGCCTGCTGGTGTACCATCAAACTGCCACGACCTTTCGCCCAACCTTTTTTCGAACCGCCACGTGTTCTACACCCCTCCCCTCCCAGTGTTGACGCACCTCCATGCGCCGCCAGGAAGACCTTGCTGGGCATCGCCGCCTGCTGCCGCGTGGGCCGCCGAGCGCTAGTGCTCACGACCACCGCCGTGGCCGTGGACCAGTGGCGGCGACAGCTGCAGATGTACACCACGCTGCCGCCGGAGGAGCCGTAACACGCCACGGCAGGATGGTGTTTGTTTTCCATTCTTTTTTATATCTGGATGAAGTAGAGATAGAAGGGAGTAGCATGTGTAGGGGCAATGTTTTTTTGATAAAACAGCAGTTTGTGTGACTTGTATCCTTTCAGTGGGTGACTTGCATTCTTGCGCAGTGATTCCAATGCCATGAACGTCAGTGAAAGAACCAATATTATCGTAGAATCAGAACAATTTTGCAAGTCGGAGTGATACTGATACTATATATATATATATATACACAGTACACCGTTTGGGAGTTTTCTCCTTTCTGGGACTCTTGGGCGTTTGTGCTTTCCACATCCGATCCTGGGTTCATCCCAAGCAGAGTTCACCGGAGTCCCAAGCGACGAGTCCGTCCGGCCTGCAGACCAGCCTAGCTCAAAGCTTTGATGGGAACACCGGAGTGTTTCCCGTTCAAATGCAGTCAGTCTCAGACACTCAAAGTGAGCCTCGATCAACTCCACTGTGACGTCAAGTTATGTCACTCGTGCCGTGAGGACGTGTACCTCTTCACAGCGGACCAGAAGCGACCCATCGAGGATGCGGAGCGCAAGGCCTGTGTGGTGATCTCCACCTACAGCATGCTAGGCTTCACTGGTCGACGAGGCGGGCGAACCGTTGGGACGCGGACGAGCTGAAGAAACCAAGGGCTTTTTCCGGTCTGACAGGTCTATTTGGTCCTTGTATCCAGGCTGGATTCGAGGTGATCCAGGTGGTCATTTCAGGGTTTTTCTATTCGAATGCACATCCCATGGTCAGGTGTTGCTTCGATTCGAAACAACGAAAATATCGGCCGCCCGGCGGACTTCGGTTCGACGCCGCGGCACCACCGGAACTGACCGCCGGTTTTCCTACCTGTTTGGTTCGACGAGGATGCCGATGCCATGCTGTGGGAACAAGCAGTTGTTTTGCTGCAACCTCCCTGCTGTTTGGCTGATGCAGGAGGGGACACTGCCTTCATCCTGGAGCAGCTGCAACAGCTGGAGTGACATGGGCTTATCGAAGCCGGGGCAGACAGACCCGGTGGAGGGTCGAGTTGTCGAAGAAGCCGGGGGCACGGTCGGTGGGTGTTCAGGAAGAAGAGAAGTATCATGTTGGCCAAGTAGCCTATTAGCCACTCTTCGTTCGCCCCCACGGATGGCGACTTTCCCGGGTGAAGCATGATGCTCTCGGAAGTGAATGAGTTATCTCACGAGTCCATTTAGTATTAGATAGACGTTCACGTGGCAGCACCTTCCCATGGAACATGTAACAGAAACACTTAAAACAACACTAAAGCGAGAGTACTTCTCACCCACAGCTCCAAGACTTGCTACAAATTGGTTTTCGAAGGTATTTTTGGTCATTTCGGCATGCCATTATTCACGGCCCTTTTCCTGCGAACATAATCTTTGGTGCACCAATCCCACCATTTGAGCTGACAGCTCTGAGCACCCGGATATACCGAACGGTTGTTGAAAGATTGGCATCTAAATGATTCCAACAAAATGGTTTCGTTGCATATGGCGAATCCTGACTACCAGAGGTTGGATCATTCGAAGTTCAGGTGGGGTCTTCTGGTGGTGGACGAAGTGCAAGTGATGCCCGTCGCTTGGATTGAAGCAAAGACGGGAGGAGCGGGCCACCCGGTCGTTTGTTATTTTAGGTTTCGTGAAACCTTCCAATACATTTGATATCATTTGATCGGCACATGGATTTGGCGTGGTTTCCACAGCTTTGGACTTCTAGTCTTGTTCTATATATCTTCTATTGAACATTTGCTTTGCTTTGGGACATCCAGATGCATGTGTGCCTTTTCTTTCCAGTCCCCTGATCAGCAAATCATTGGCAGAACGCTGCTTGTACGGCAGGCGTTCACACATTTGGTCTAGAGAAAAAACACCTGTATGCCGGCCATCACATTTTACTATTTCACCTCTGTCCAGTGATTTGGTTGTGGGTCAAAACCAGGGGACCCTGGTTGACCGCTTGACCAACGAAATGAACAGAATCGACGACCTACTAGGGAGGTCCACCGACCAGGGAGGTCAACGGGCTCCGGGTGCCATGACCCGCAGCGGATGTGTCCGCCTTCAATTGCCACATCTTCCAACCTCGAAACTGACGCTCACTCCAATCCTCCAGACCCCTTCAAAGATATGAAGCACTGGTCCGCCCCAGCTTTCCGCCACCGGTCCCCCAAACCCTTCAACTCCCTTCCGCCGGGCGCGCCCGGTGCGCGCGCCCTGGGGGCTCGGGCGGCTCATGTAGGCGCGGACCTTCCGGACGGTGGCGACCACCATCAAGTCCCACTGCTGCTTGGGGCTCACGGCCACACTGGTTCGGGAGGACGACCTCATCCAGGCGGTGGGGGAGGAGGGCAGCGGTCGGTCGGAACCCGCGAGACTGTTTGCAGAAAGCGCTGTTTCTGAAGGGGGGGAGCTTGGTGAAGTGGAGACGTGACGGGGGAGTCGGGTTGGTTGAGTTTGGACGTATAAGAGAATTGATTTGGGCTCCCTCACTTCAGAGATGGAGACAGGCCTCTACTAGTCTTTACTTGATTTCACCAAAGCAGTTTGCATGATGTAGATATGATCCGGCTGATCCTGAAGAGTTCAGTGAAAGAAGCGCCACCTTTGCCACAACCTTGAATCTCCATCTCTTGTGCTATGGCCTATGCCTTACGAAAATTTCACCTGAGCATCTCCTCATCTCATGGTGCAACCTTTACCTCCCCACAGCCGCAGGGGATTTCCCATGGACCCCGACAAGGTTTCGATCCATGTTTTGGACCATTTTCCGAATACCAAGCGAGTGGTTTTGGGGGGTTCTATGTGGTCCTCTGCAGGAGAGTAAGGTACAGGGAAGACGGCCTCTATACCCCTACCCTGCGGTGGATGCTTGCGAAGATTTGCCAAGGAAGACGTGGACCATTGAAGTATTTTCATGCACAGCTGTGTCCTGTATCCAACATCATTCCTTACCGAGTGTATTCGCCCCTCACGGTTTCCAGCTCATTTTCTCACGGTTTCCAGCTCTAAGTGGCATTCCAGGTCTTCGAACTTCATCACACCAATTTTTCACATGAACATGTATTCTCCCCCACCCCCCGCAAGTCCACACCCTTGTCACCACTGAAGCCACTCGCCCTCGCCACCCTTGGGTCCGGAAGAGCTGACCGCTCTCAGCCGATCGGCGCCTCTCTCGCCTCTCGCCTCGAGGATTTACATTGGCTCATTGGCCCCAAGCTCTATGAAGCCAACTGGCAGCAGCTCCAGGAGCTTCCCGTTTTTCGGGTGCATGTTTTTTTTGCCTCGGAATCATCACTGGTCTGGTCGAGGTCGAGGTTTTTTGTTTGGGCGTGCGGAAAAGAGACGTGGTCATGAGCGGCGAACTACTTGGAACATACTATTTGGAGTTTTTTTCAAGAGGCCTGCTCATGCTCGGATTGCCAAGGACACACGGATGGCGGACTTCTTAGGGATTCCGGACCTGAAGAAATGATCAGATTTCAATCGTTCAACGATGTGACAAGGGCCGCCAAGCAAGTTGGCAGCCTGGGCAAAGCACAGAAAGCAAAGCCCTACCCAAAGGAATTGGCCGCGACGCGTTGATCAGGCCAGGAGCTGATGGCTTTCAAGCGCACCATTTACCACAGTTTTTGCAGACCGGCCATCTATATGCAGAGCCCCGATACCTCGATCACGAACATCCGCATCTGTGGCACGACCCGATCAGATGCAGCCTGTCGATACGAAGGCTACGAACTCTCTGCGACTGCGAGGTGGCAGAAAGGCCCGCAGTCGGGAGGTGGAAGCAGTGGTGCAACATGGTGCAACGCTGGAGCTGTGAAAGACCGAGGTGGAGACCGGAAGAACACGGTGGCCCACATGAGCCACCGTGGTTAAAAGGGCACAGGATGGCCCCTGGCGCCATTGGAACATCTGATGAATGGCGACGTGCCACTGCCCAGTCCGTGACAGGGACTGCGATGGGTGCAACCATGATAGACCCGTGTGCGGAGTGGGGACTGTGGGGTGACACGGTCGCATCAGGGAATCACTCCACGCCCAAACTTTCCCAAACCTTATGTCTAAGTCTGTGTGAACAGAACAGGTGGTGGATTTGCAAGTTGAACAGGTGGTGGGTTTGCTCAGGCGGTGCGAAAGTCGCTCGCACCCGGCCCACCCACCCCAGATGGGTGCAGATGAATTGCGAAGCCCTTTGCTATGCTTATTTTCCATCCCAAGTGATGGTTGACCAGGTGGATACCCAGATTGCTACCAGTTCAGGGAGGCTCCCTGTCTGGTAGCTGTCGGATGCCACTGTCGCCAAAAGCCGCACGTGTTTGGGGAAGGGAGTGATTTCCCTAACACGAGTTCCCGCGCAAAAGGCCATGCAAATGAGTGACTGTGAAGTATTCTGGGTCAAAGCATGGTAAAACCAGAGCCACAGCTTGGCAGAGTAAGCTCTGGTAGGTTTGAATTTGTTGGTTTTCTTTGGGTGCAAACTATAAGCTGATTCTTCCACCTGATTCTTCCACGATGCACCCCCCCCAAAAAAGAGCTCCAACAAAAGACGAAGTCCTTTTTGCGAACTGTCTGGGATCACCAACAAAGACATCACCAGATCCACCACATCCACAGCCAGGTGTCCCATCCCGCCAGGACGATGGCTACCTGGCCAAGGTGCGTTGCATCGAAGTCTGGTGCGACATGGCGGAGGAGCCGATCCGCGAGACCGTCGCTGGAACGCTCCGTCGCTCGAACTCGTCGCTCGAAGTCTGGTCGCCAGACGGGCTGCTTGAAGTCCCAGGTGTCCTAATGTCACAAGGCTCCCTTGGATCCGTGGCGTGTTCGTGAAAGGATCGGGTTCTTTGATGTTCGCATCTCGTGACAAGACCCTGGACGTCGCTGTGATAAGATATGTTCTAGGCGCATGGTCTGTATCGAATGACCATTGCCAGGTGATCAGTCGCGCAACGTTTCCATGATTTTAGGGTCGGTTTCGTTGCCGTTGGCAAACTCGGCCTCGCTTTGGCCGAAATCCGTTCCCTTCTCCGTTCGATTCTGCTAGTGACCTGGACGCAGGCCACCTAGCTCTGCTCCTCTTCTCCGCCCGCCGCTTCACCGCGTCATCGGGGCGACGTCGCTCGGGGCCAGACCCACCGCAACGGCGAAAACCTTGGGTCGGTGGAGGCTGACGGACGTCGACGTGCGTGTTCGTTCTTGATTTTCCCTCTGGGTGAAGTGGCACGCAGGGAAAGACGAAAACAAGAGGGATCACCAGTCAAGATCTCGTCTGACATGTCTCTCTCTTCCAAGAATCTCTTCTTGTGACTTCAGCCAGGAGTTCTTCATGGAATATCTCCAGGCGCAAGATGGGGGCGATGTACCAGGCAGGGACGCGCAGACGCTCCGCGCGTCTGGAGCGCGCGTCCCCGCCCGCGGCTTAACGCGTCGGGCGTTCCGCCCTGCGGTTGTGCAGCGACCGAGTCCTTGGCTCGCTGGACGGTGGTAGGACCCGGGCGAAGAAGTGGTTGGACATCGTTCAGTTGAGATCACATCGCGAAGAAAGGACCAACGATCGCGCGATCGCGCTTGGACAACTAGCGTAGTTGTCCGCACATGTCCAGACATAACATTACATAACACTGAGGAGCAGGAGTTGGTAGAAGCTGTCTGGTCTTGTCGGGGTTGTGAAGCATTCCATATGCTCATGTGCTCTCTTTGAAAGTGACGACTTTGATGTGTTGTTGGAAGACAATTTACTATTTCACCATGATGTCACCAGCGGATGCGGTGCAGACCAACTGAACAGTCAGACGATTTAGTCACAAAGCCGAAACCAAACACAGGCCCTCCTTGCATCACCTCCTTCTTACAAATTTTGGATGACTACCACAGCCTAGTATATGGGGCAGTTCTCAAGTTTTAAGTTCTGCACTGGGATAGCTTCAACTTGTCCTGAGCAGTGCAGGAAGTGTAGCATCTCGTCTCCACCATCACAATGAGGAAAGATGAATCTTCCGAAGACCAAGCTAACTCTAAGCATCTCACTGACTCCATCCCCATGGGCGAACGACGTGTTTTACCGCTGTGAACCCGCGGCCAGAGGTTCCATGCGTGGCAGCTTGCAGAGGGCGCTGTGGACCTGCAATCCGAACAAGCTTCTGGGCCTTCCCAGTGCGGACCCGTCGTGGCGGCAGTTCTGGGCTTCGTGCTGCATCTGATGAAGAAATTGGTTGGAAAAAGATCGCTGGAGTTCGGAGCTCGAGCCCCCTCACCTCGTGACAACGGATTTCGGTAGGTCAAACAAGGTGTCCTGCTCTTGACCCACAGCCATATATAGGACTTGACTCTTGTTGTGATCAAGCCCTCAATGGCATGTTCTATTCGGAGATGCTACTCAAGCCAAGAGATGGTATTTTGGGATTCCCATGTGCCCATGCCTTGTGTGTAAGCAAACAAGGGAGACTGGTATAGGCATCATCAATCGGTTGTTGTGCCATGGTTGGACCTTGAGCCAATTCCTTTGAGTAACTAGCTCTCATTTTTCCTGTTTGGATGTAGGTGGGGGAAGTGCAACACCATGCGCACTTGCACTCCTTGCATGCAAGGACATGGGGTGGGGTCAGGAGATGGTGTCAGGACACGGGTGCCAAGCTGATGAATTCTCCTCCGAAGGTTCCCTTTTTTTCAGTCAGTTGCAGTGTCGAGTCGAAGATGATGGGATCGGACAGCTTTTAGATGGTTTGCCCTAGAAGTCCAAAGACTATATTTTGACCGGCTGAAGTAAAGGAAGTTCCCTTTCAGGTCCCCTAAAGACCATTCTTTTTATAGTATTTGACTCCTAGGGTTTGGATAATTCATAGGATTTCATCCAAAAATCAGACTTCCTCCGCCTTTGTTGCCACGTGCGATGCAACAGGATCCATGCTCTCGCCGGGACGTGCGGGTCCATGCTCTCGTCCCTCCCATTTCTGCTCAAGAAGTGAGATCCAGATGGGAGATCCCAGAGAGAGAAAGAGAGTGAGTTCATTTCACCAACACGAAGCCGAGAAACCACCAGCAGTTCCAGCAGTTCCAGCGGATCCTCGCGTGTTTCGTCGGTCGTGAGTGGATCTGAAGCACGGCGAACAAACCTCCGTTCGACGAGGGGTGGACTGCTCGACGAGGGGTGGACACCCCGGGTGGACGAAGTGGACCAGTTTCTTTTTGCCGTCCCAAAAACAACGAACATGGAACATGGAACTTTCACCCACCTGATTTTCTAATATAATTACAGTACATATATCTGCAATCTAACCATATATCTGACCACCGGGAAAAAACGATTCGCGACCACCGGTTTTCCATGATGTTTTCTTCCTCTGCCAGACTCGAACGCAGACTCCTCGCCACTGCGAGAGGGGCCATGTCGATCACTTCCGGTCCCACCCGTCGCCCGTCGCTGAGCGAAGACCGCCGGACGCCGCGGAGGTTGAAGACCTGCGAGTTTCTGATCCGCTTGCACGAGCAGCGCGGGGACAAGATCATCGTCTTTAGCGACAACATCTTCATCCTCAAGGCTCGGATGTTGCTGCTTCGTTGAACTCTTCGAAGAAATACCGGTTTTACCTTGAGCAAAAAGATGGCACTGGCACACTGAGATGTTATTTTTTTGGTCTTTTTGGGTGCAACTACAACTGGTCCATATAAACTGATACCAGCAATGGACGTAACCCGGACACGTGGGTTGTATGGGTCTGGGTTAGCCACTGGCAGTGGTCAGTTGTGTTTGTGTTAGTCCATATAAACTATACCAAACTTGGGGGGCCCTGGTGCCATCTACTCTGAGACATTCGCGTCGGCATTCGCCCGACCGGCAGTGGGTTTGAGAGGGTTCCGCGGTGGTGGCTCGCTGCCTTTTCCACTGGGTCATGGCGCGCCCAATGAGAGCCCCAAGGAGGGCCCAATGAGAGACTCTTTCTTACTTCTTACTTACTTAACAACATTTTCGGAGTGTACATGACATGGTAAAGGGTTTTGACTCTCACATAAGGTGTAAGTGAGTACGGTGAGGAGTTTTGAACCCAAGTGGTGACCTAGCAAGTGTGGGTCAGTGATCCACTTAGCTTCTGTTGTGGACACACCCTGGATCACTTCCTCTTGCCTTTGCAACCTATGTCGAGGGGTGCCTGCATCTCAGCAGTTGTTCTGGTTTTGACTCATTTTGGAATTCTTGTGCCATCCATTATGGCCTCCAGCCACTCACTCTCCTTCTTGCAGACTAGATGGCAGAACTACGTTCGGTAGGGGTGGAGACGGAGAAAATTACGATTCACCTTCACAACGCATCTGGGGATTCATTAGACATTTTGCGGTGGTTTCCTTCCTGGTGACTGTGGATTAGCTAACAGCTAACATTCCCTAAACTTTGTACCATGATGCAGTTGCATGACTAGCCACCTGGTTTCGGCAATGGCTCATGTGGGCGTGTAACTTCCCAATCATGTTCCCATGACTGTTTTGCCCGTATTTTGCAGTACTCTGCCAGCATGTCGAGAACGAGCATGACAGGGGATGCGCATCTTCCGGACTCGCATCCAACCGTCGTGGACTCCCGAGACATCGACGCCGCCATCGAACCTCTGAAACCACAGTAACTCGAGGTGGGATTACTGTAGATTATATAGATGGATGACATTGATTAGATAAGTGGCACGTGGACCAATTCGCGGAGAATCCATTACTGGACACCGGGGCGACGAAGCACACAAAAGAGGCTTTCGCTGTACCATCTGAATCATACGACCCACGCGCATACAACGCCCCACGGGACTCTACACTTCTTACACACATGACCACACATGCAAGGGGGGGGCACTCAGACGACATGCACCGGTTGGGGTCCCTCTTCCTTCGTGCACAACCGGACCGGTGAGACCGGTCCGCCGGGAGCTGGCCCGCGCTCGGCGCGAGGAGTTCGCGCGGAAGCTGGGCCGCTACTACATCTGCGGCAGCGTCTCCTTGCGCGAGCGGATGCAAATCCTCAGCGAGTTCCAGGACGCGACGCAGACGACGGAGAGGGTGGGGGGTTCGGGACATCGGAGGCTCGTTTCTGGGTGGGACGCCCAATGACGACGGTGAGTGCCGATGGAACATGGGCTTCTTGGCCCGAAAGGAGAGACTGGCAAGAGACTTGTTTTCCTGGCAGAACGCATCGAAAGGAGTCTTAGAGTGCTTGCACACAGGCATACGTACAGTAGATGGACAAAGTATTCGAAGCCCTGAGTCAGGAACTGCCGGGAACACCCCCAAAGTTCAATGTTGAATGGACTTCTTTCACTTTGCATTGCCAGGGTTTGATCTGTTTCGTCCATTTGCCCAAACCCTTTGACTGGCGCTGACGCTGACACGGAGTTTTGGCGTGGGAGGGGTCAAGGTGGTTTGAAGTGTTTGCATAGTGATTGTGGTTCAGCAAGGTGGCCAGGTGCAATTTGAGCCACAACAACTTGTAGTATTTGTACTGTGAACACGTATTTGTACTTGTAGTATTTGTATGTTTTGTAGGTGGCCAGGTGAACATGTATTTGGAACTTGTGACAGCTTGATCGAAGAATCTTTCGGACATTCCGCTTTTGAGCCTTTGGGGAATCTGTCCATGGCTCAGAAAGAAGATGCCAGTCGGAATTTGTTTGGCTCGCAGGCGGGTATTTGGGGTATTTACTAAATTGTGAAGCTCTTTTTTTCCACAATCTCTCCAGAATCCCGTAAATCGGACCTGGTCCACCTGGGGTACCTATGGGATAGCTATTTGAACTATAGGGCCACTAGGCTTCTGACCCACCTCTGTTGGAACTTTGGATGCTTGGGCCGTCTTGGAAGGAGAGCTCCGCCTGCAACACGATCTTCCTCTCGAAGGTGCCCACGCGTCCGCGCTCGTCCAGCGAGGGATGTACGGCCGCCAGGCAGAGACACCAACACCATGAAAGGTTGTTGAATCCAACTGGCTGGGGGTGGGTTGAGCAGGACAGGCAAGAAACATGTTCTTCGGTACATTTGGGTGTTGGTGTGCTGTTGGTTTTGGACAATGATGGGTGTAAGTGAAGAATCACTCTTCCTTCCTTTGTTTGGGTCACGTCACTTGCCATGCGAACTGCCCGAAGAACACCTCCTTAAATCTATTGGCCATTGAAGCACTGACAAGCACCAGGTTGTGCTTTCCAAGTGTATGAGAGCATCGTCAGCTAAGCTGACCACCCTTTGCGAAGAGGAGGCTTGTTAATTCTGTCCTGGAGGACTCTGAAGACCCGTTGAACTTTCAAGTTCCATTGACCGATTGGGGCACTTGAAAGATGATCCAGTGGATTGACCAAAGGATTCAAGTTGCAAGTTCAATGATTCTCAGTTGACCAATTCTGAATAACGCCAATGGTCCAGTGCATTGAAGCCAAGATTCCAAAGCTGTCCAGCTCCATTTTTCTGCCTGACTGGCCCGCCGGCCTGTCCTGCCTTGGCAGGTGGGGGACAATGCTATTGACTTGCCAGTGGCCAATGTGACTTTGAAGAATCGTGTGATTTCTCGCACCTTTTGAGCAGACGTACTAGACCGTACGTACTATGACGAGAATCGACGAAATATAGCCCATGGCTGGCTTGCTGGTGTGCCACCAATTTGTGGGGTGGTGTGTTGTTTTTGACGAACGTGCCATCGCCTGTTCAGCTTCTCTTCATCACTTCATCCACATGCCGGTACCGGACTCCTCTCACCTGGACCTGTTTCTCGCGAGGCATCGTAAGAAAGACATCACCTCAAACACCTTAAGGCAGCCCAGATTCAAACCATACCAGACGATTTCTAAGGGGTGTTGAATGGTTTTTAGCTTAAGGGGCATCTGGACAGGACTTCGATGTACCAGAAGTCAAGCCGAACCAAAGGAAGACCGCACGCCCTCTCACCCCCTCTGGAGCACCGCCCCTTCGGGACGAAGAGCGAGGTCATCGTGCAGATCTCTTCGCACTACGGGTCGCGGCGGCAGGAAGCACAGCGGCTGGGGCGGATCTTGCGACCGAAGCCACAGGCGAAGGATGGAGGCTCCGCTTGCGGATGGGGACGTGGATGGCTGGAGGCCTCAAAAAACCCCCGGTCCCAGTTGCAGAAACCAGTCTGGAGGGATCTGGAGAAGGGTCTCAAGCACTTGTTATGTAAAGGGTCTCAAGCCGTAAGCAAGCCATATTGGAAGAACCAGAACTGTTGGTGGTTTGGACTGGGTTTTCCAGGTTCCTTTTCCTCTCTTCTGTTCGACATCCTCCATGACTGGACAGTGCCTCTCTGCAATGTTCAAAACACACCCAAGTGATCGAAACAAAGATGGTGACCCCAACCCAAACACTCCATGTACGGCACCTTTTTGCTCTATTTACCTACCTCGGGGTGGTTTAAAGAGAGCTCCATTTGGTCCATCTCTTCTCACCATGGACCTTTTCTTATTCTCGGGCTTTCCACAGAACCTCAGTGAGGGGTCCTGTTTTTCGGTCTGGGGCCGGACCTCATCCTATCGTGTGAATTCCAACGTGCATCTGTGAGGAACGGGTGGCTTCAATGCCTTCTTCTACTCCGTGGTCTCGCGCGACACCCAGGAGCTCTATCACGCGAACCGGCGGCAGCAGTTCCTGGTGGAGCAGGGCTACAACTACCAGGCGACGCATCGAGGTCCTCAAGCAGCGAGGTCCAGGGTGGACCCGTGGCACAGGAGCATCAGTGCCTGCCAGTGCCCAGTGGTTAGAGCCGGGTCCGAGCCTGAACGGTAACGGATGGTGTCATCTCATTCTGTTCATCCGGGATCTGCCCCCCCCCCAAACATGACATGTCCTCCCAGCCATGGTGCCCCCTTCCCCTTCAGTGTCACGGGCTTTTGGGGGTCGAAGAAGTAGAAGCAGCTGGCGGTGGCAGCCAATGGCGGGGTCGCTGGGTGAAGTGTCCTTTACAGCCCTTTCCCAGGGCAACTTGTAGCGTGATCAAGGTACCATTCAGTCCCATGCAGGAACCTGTCGAAGTTTCACCCACACGATCTTCCTCCCTCAACGTAACTTCCGCCCCAATGGAAAGACCATGAAGTTCCTTAAGATCCAACAGGAATAAGCAGCAGGGGGTGCGTTTGTTGCAGTCACCGATGAAAACCGCTTCAAGCCAGGTCATTGGTCATCACATGTCATCAATATCCACGGCTCGTCGATATGCTCGTCGTTTAGTCGGCATGTGATCTGTTTCACTCCCAGGTCTCCGTTTGCGGTATCCATGTGTCCATGTAACAGGGAGATCATATATATATAATATATATATGATATCCAGGAGTCACAAGACGGGGTGCCGAACTTGGAGGATAGGGGTGCCCATGATCCACTCACTTAGGGACGAAAACCCACCCCTTTGTGAACCCTGGATATGAGATATTAATATAGTCGCTAATTTTGTTCTTAGAGCGTTTCATCACAAGGTAGACTGTTGATGCAGACCCCCCCTACCCCGATGGTTTTACATCTCCAGATTGGGGGGGGTTCATCACAGCAATCGTCTACATTACATTTTAGCCAATTCGCGAGCAATTTTGCACGCAACTCCCCGCTTTTGACCCTTTCTTCGAGTGATCTCGAATCCTAAACTTAGCTTCAGATGTCTCTGCAGGATTTTACATTTCCGCTTTGCATCAAGTTCTTCATGACCACACGAAGCAAACGTGCCCCCTTTTCAGAAACACACGCGCTCGCATCGACGTCCTGTCTGACGTCGACGTCGCCCACCGTCTTATCGTCGCAGGTGGTGCGAGACTACAATGTGACGCGGCTGGAACAGCAGAACCTGATCTATTCCAGCAAGGACTCCCAACTGCAGCTCTTGAAACAGGCCTTGAAAGTGTCCAACAAAAAGGGCGTTTCCCTCGCGAGCATAGCGCCTTGCGTGCCTTGTTGCCCTGTTTCATCACGATGGGAGGCGTTGGGCGACGCAGAGAAAACATGGCGTTTGCCCGGAAGAGTGGGGAGCTTCGGTTTGACAGTGCTTATGTAACTTGGGTGCAGGCACAGAAAGGGATCCAGTTCCGGACCTCTCCCAGGGTCAGAACACATAGACCAGTCAGACCGGCCTAGCCCAGTCTCCAAACTCTTGAACTCCCAAAAAAAAGGATCCTCCAAACCCGGCGTGGTGGGTGTGTTCTTTGGGACTCCGGGACGTCTCCGCTCTCGGCAGGTCCTCGAGAGCGTGCGCCGGGGCGAGGCCGAGGAGGCCGACGAGGTCTTGGAGCCCGGCTGCGAGACACCGAGGATGGAGACGGCGCCGAGCAAGGCGGAGAAGGTGGAGAAGGTGGAGGGGAAGCGACCCAAAGAGGACCGGGAGTGGGGAGGAGATGTGAGGAGTGGTGGCAGGTGGCAGGAGTGGCTTCTTTTATTTTGGTTTCCTTTCCTTGTTGGTTCTAGTGCTTGGAGAGCACTTGGTAGGAAGATCTTGGTCCGAAATTGGCTCACTTCTGCGAGGTATGTTGTGGAAAGTCCAGAAGGGTTCCACTGATTGTGCGTAACTGGTTAGCGGCTGACCATGCACTTCTTTCATCTTTCTCATTCTTCTCGGAAGCTTCGAAACGGGTCGCGGTCTTTCCAGGAGAAGGTTTCCCTAGCCAGCCTCAGTGGTGGGCTTGATGGCTCCTACACCGCTGCCGCGCCCAAGTTCAAGCGTTTGAAAACCCAATGACGGCTCCAAAAACTTAGCAATTCTCGGACCATGCCAGAAGAGGGAGCCCGAGATTTTGGATCCTTTGTCCAGACAAGAAGATTCCAGGGCTTAATTACAGTAAGGAGGCAGGGTTTGAGGGCCACGGGCCGAAAAAGAGAAGAACAGCATACAAGAAATCATCTAAAGAAGCTAAAGAACATCAAATAGAAGAACAAATAAAAAGAAGCTAAAGAATACAAGAAATCAATTAGAGTCAAAGAAGTTTCAACTGGAGACCCTTGCAGCCCGTCCGAAGCAATCTGCAGCTTTGGGACATGCACGGACATGTATCCCCTCTACCATCGTAATCTGTTTGGAGGTTTGTTTCAGCTGTTGCATGATTTGAGTTTGTTTCGTCATCTTAAAGGAACCAAGACATCCATCCATCTCGAGCTCCCTACCGATGAGCTCCGGTCCAACTCAGCGATTGGCTGTGTGCCAATCAGAGATCCGGTCCTTCTTTGTGTTTGAGACACCGCGCACAGAAGCCGTGTGCGGGGCGAGACCAAAATGGACCCTGAACATCGTGTGTGTGGATGCCACTCAGTGAGTCGAATCTGCCGAATCGCTCCCGGTTCCCACCCTTTTCCCGCTGGCGTTGGGTGACCGGGACACGTTCGACCGGCATCATGGAGAAGCGGCCAGATGCTCGGGGTACCTCACACCGCGCGAGAGAAAGAGCGTCACCGCGGGATGCAGCGGGTGATTCGAACTGCGGGAGTCGTTGCTTTCAGGTTCGGTGGTGAAGAGGTGGCCTTTCTTTGTTCGCAGGGGATGAGAGGTCGAATCTTTTGGAAGATGGAAAGGACGTTCCTGGGATGAGATGGACACTTTCTATCTTTTCTTCTTCCTGCACCAAATGCGGGAGACTCGTACCACCAAATTACATCAACTTACATGGGTTTCCCAGCTAGAGCAGGATTTTCTCCACCGGCTTCACCCCATGTTTCTGCTTTTCGGTGTTTTTTCAAGATGAACTGACCATTAGATACCATTATATATTAAATTAGTATATAGTGACCAAGATGAACCGCATATCGACACCGAAGCTCATGTAGAATCCATTTTATGATAGGGTGACTTTTGTCTCGAGTCAATAAAGCGAGCACAAGTCCCACAGGGCCTTTGTGTCCAACAACAAGGTCCGGTCGGGGTAAGTTCGTTTCATTCACATATCAATGGCAATGGCATTCACAGATACTCCAGCTTCCTTCTTCGCTGACTGACAACCTCTCTTCAGGCCACACACCGAGTGTGAGCTTCCAAGCTCTTCGGCCAGGTTCTCCCCAAAATTCCTGAGGGCTCTGACCGAATCTGCCACTTCATGCTTCCATCCAAACCCGGCAGACCTCGCTTTTTTGCGCCCCCGACGCCCCGGAAGCCCTTTGAAACCCACGGCCACCGGCCCCGACCACCCGAGGACATCACTCGCATGGAGAGCCCACAGGTGGCGGGTCCTTCACGCGGTCTCGGTATGGCGAGGAGAAGCGTTATTTTTTTTGCTTCGACCGAGAAGGAGAAGATCCGATGGATTTGACCCGCACCAAACATCAAAACTCAGACAGGAAGCAGGCAACACGCTGAGACAGGAAGCTACACCTTCCCCCAAAACAGCACACGGTTCTGTGCCGCTTCGCTCGGACGTGTGTGCGTCACACGGTGTCGTCACACGGGGAGTTCGCAGGTCTTGGAGTTCGGTGTCTCTGGGGAAGTAGGCAGTAAGAGAACGGTTGAACTGGGCTTCCCTGAATGGGTTTTGCCTCCAAACAGGGAACGTGTCAAAGAGCTCTTCTTGGAACTGATAAAGGACTGGACCTGCTGCGAAGTTCAGTGAGAGAAGGACTCACTATGGTTTGAGAGGATTGCAGTGAGTAGATTTGGAGGAAGTTTGATGATGAGATAGGACCATAATAATGCACATGTCCACACTCAAACACTACCCCTAGCACAATGTTGCTCCAAGTAGTAGGGCACTAAGAGATCTCCGTGTGGGAACTAATTGTGACCAGCCCGCAGAGAATGGCCATGTTTGATCAGGAAAAGAAGGGAGGCTGGTGCTTCGGTGAAGCAGTTGCACGTGATCATGAATCTGTTGATGCGGAATCATTTCACGATGATTTGTGTTATATGTTGAACGTCACAGGTGGAACACACACACACACACATTACACATACAATGTATCATCAACATCCAGATTCTGGGTTGTACCCAGATCTCGTGGCAAAGGCAGGCGCCCACTTCTCGTGGCAGGACCCAAGTGCCATGCTCCCGAGCCCGGTTGCTAATCTTCAGACCAGCAGACCAGAATGCGGGGGGAGTGTCATCCGGCAACACCCCTGTCAAAGACTTGAACATCGAAGCCTTGTCAGAGCAAAAAGGGAATGTATTCCTTTAAATTGGTATGGAGGTCCTCTTTGACAATCGCAAGCAGATTATATGTCACGTTTCCCAGTCAAAAGACATATGGAGACCCCCTTCTTTCGCGCGCGGGATGTCTTTTACCACGCCACAGCAGGCCTTCTACCCTGGATCCGCCTACGAGGTATACACGAAGGACAAGGCGGTGCGGCGGATGGGAATGGACTACCGGAGGAAGAAATGCCGAACCACCTACTGGTCTGATGTATTCTGCAGTGGGGAATACCACACATAGGACTGCCACTTTGTGGGATCTTCTCCATACCAGGGTGATGTTTCCCATGGGAGACGAACGGGGTAGGGGTGGAGCAGTTGGAGTGAGATTTGATCGTTGCACTTCGACGCAACTAGTATCGTCTATCAGCAGAGTGCCCCTCCACAGGTAAAAATGGGTCGGGCAGAAGAGGCGGCCAAAATCGGGTCCAGGTTCCCCGTAAGAAATGATGATTCGAGTGTAGTACTCTTTGAAGTGGCGACCGAGCTCACCCCGAGCTTGGTCTGGAGCTTGGTCGCTCCTTAAGCAGGAATAATCTACTGTATCTATTTTTCTATTGAATGGTCCATTGGACACCTAACAGTGGACACTGAAGCCACTGAAATGGAGCATCTCATACCAGTTCAACAACAATCGTTGTGGAGTCTGCCCAGTCAGAGAACAACCTTTAACCTTCTTGAAGGATTGGTTTCCGCACTGAAAGCGAATCGGTGGAATAGCTAGGGTCTGTCCATTACCTGTTTGAACAAGGCCTGGCCGCTAGCCTCACCATCATCCACTGCTCCAGGGAATAGGATATTCCAACCAAAACGGCTTGGTTTTCCGTTGCCTGCAAGGAGTTCCTGAATAGACCATCTTTCGGGCTTCGACGCACTGGGTCGGTCGCAGTGCGTGTTGACGACACGGTTGCCCCTCTTTTCTTGTGACCTGAAGAGCGCTGCCAACATGAAAATCTACCCGGATACCTCTTACATGATCTTATGTGCTCCACGTGAAAAAAGGACGCTTTCATTCAGTGAGCGTGTGCAGTGCACCACGCCACGGCAGAGGATGTTCTTTTGGTGTCTTTCTTTTTTCCGCACTAGTATCCTTTTTGATTCCAACGGAGCCGCGGCGCAACAACAGTAGCAGCGGACTCCTAGCGGCGGGCACCTTGGGCTTTTTTCTTTTGCAACCAAAGAACGGGGCGGACTTGGTATCCTTTGATTCCACGCTCGGGGCACGTCGGTCGTTTGAGGCGCCCAAGGCTCCGGACAGCCCGCCGGTGATGACGCTGGGTACGGCAGGGAGAAGATGGAGCTGTTTTGTGGTGACAGTCGTCACAGAAAGAATATATAGTAGAAATAGTGGTGGTGGGTGGTGGGTGGTGGGTGGTGGGTGGTGGGTGGTGGGT